TCTGTCATCCACTTTGGTCTTGTCTTCTTTTCTTGTCTTTTTAGTGATCTCTTGCTTTCTTCATGGATAATGTTCTTGATATCTTCCCATAATTCACCTGGCTTTCGGTCGTTGGTGTTCAATGCATCAAATTTATTAAATTTTGAATTATGGGTGATACCCATTATTTTTTGAGCCAGTTTGTTACTTAGCTACACGGTGACCCTCAGGGGTTAGTTTCAGTTCAAGGTCTGAAGAGTATTTCAGAGCAGTTGTCTCAGGGATTCCTCTAGTCTCAACGAGTCCAGTAGGTCTATTTTTGTGTTTTAGGAATTTGTGGTTCTGTTCTAATTGTTCTCCCATTTATCAGGGTCTATCTATTGTGGTCCTGATCAGAATGGTTGTGGTACCTTCAGTTCTACTGGGCTCAGGGTAGATGAGAGCATGGTAGTGTAGATTATTTGTCCAGTAGATTAGTTTCTATGTTGAGTCTTTAGTTTCTTTCTTGCTCTTTTGCTCTGGACAAGTAGTGGTCAGTAGTTGTGTGGCCTCTTGCAAGCTTTTAAGACAGTAGTCACCAAACTAGGATATAGAACATCATTTTAGGAACTATATTATTCCATTTGACCAAGATGTTCCATGAGAACATGATCCTCATCTCTCAAACCCAGAAATCCAATTCTGTGATGTGTTTGGTTATATCTAAGAAGTATCTATAACTGTCCCCCCATGTGCTTTATTAGATACATGAATAGATATACATACACACCCATGTAAACACATTCATATGCCTGTATCTTTATATACAAACATATATTCACATGTACATATCTATACACACATGTTGTTGTTATGTACCGTCGAGTTGTACCCAACTTATAGTGACCCCTTCTTGGGTTTCCGAAGCAGTATCACTATGGAAGTAGATTGCCCCGATCTTCCTTCCGAGGAGTGGCTGGTGGGTTTGAACTGCCAGCCTTCTGATTAGCAGTCAAGTGCCTTAGGCACTATGCTACCAGAGCTTCCTATACACACATATACCTACATATATACCTCCACATATATTTTTCTGCTGCTGTTTCTAAATTATATATGCCATAACAGTTACCAACAAAGCCCTTTTTTCTTGGGTACTTTTTAGTGACATTGTTTACATTTGTCAAACTATGTACACTTAACTCTCATTTGTTGTCACCTTTCCCATCACCAAAAATAAAAGTATCTACTATCTAAAGAGTGAATTCCCCTCCTATCCCAGTAACCACTAATGAACATTGGTTTCTGTATATTTACCTGTTCAAGTCATTTCAGAAAAATGAGAATATTTGTTTTATTGTGATTGACTTATTTCACTCAACATAATGCCTTCCAGATTTATCCATGCTCCATAATGCTTTTGGAACTCATTTTTTCTTTATCAGTGAATAGTATTCTTTC